GGGGCCGGCGCAGGCCGCGGCGGGAGGAGCGGCGGCGGCAGCATGGCAGCCTCCTGCGGGGCCGGCAGGCCGGCGGAGGGGCGGGGAGGTGAGTGCGCTGCGGGGAGGCGCGGGGGGACCCCTCGGTCCCCTCCTCCCGGGGGAAAGCGGGGGACACGCGTGGAGCGGGCGGGAGAGCCGTCAGGGCCCGGCCCGTCGGAGCGGGATGGCGGGGGGGGAGCCCCGGGCTGCCCCGTCCCCGCTTCCTGGTGAGGGGTAAGTCCCTCTGGTCCTGCCGGTGCCGTGCCTCCCCTCGGCCCAGCCCCGCGATGGGCACATGGAGCTGAGGGGACCAGGAGAGGTGTCAGCAGCGCGTTGTGCTGGAGCGGGGCTCGGTGCCGCCGGGGAGGGGGACATCAGTCAGGCTGGTGGTCCGGGTGGCTCTGTGGCTTCTCACTTCGATCCGTATCTCAGCACAAAGAGAAAGAAAAGCAGGTGGTGTTCGGTGAGGAGCAGAAGTGGACTGTCGGGGTGACAGCCGGGCAGAAGTCGGGCACCATAAGGAGCACGAAGAGCAAAATCTCCATCCTTGTTGAGAGGCCTGTGTGTCTGTGCCCTTCTAGAAGCGGGTCTGCTAGACATCACCTTGGGTAAACCATGAGAAATCCTCAGGCCAAACTGGTCCTTGTTCAAGAAACCCAGGTGTTGTGAGGCAGGAGCAAGAGCTTCGGTTACATCTTCTGGTCCTGGGGGAAGAAACAAATGGAAAAAAGAGGGTAAACTCTAGTGATAAGAGTGCAGCCCTGCAGGCCTTGGCGGGCACAGGCTGTCTCTAGGATGAGTACGTCTGGTTTTAAAAAAAATGTCTCCAACAAATCATTACTCTAAACTGGTAACTGGAAATTTTAGGGGATGATTCCGTTTGATCCAAACAAAAATCTCGAGTTTAATGTTTTCACATTTAAGAGAGGAAAGTGGCACACATTTTTTTCACTTCAGGTTGTTTTTTAGCTTCTACTGTCAAGTTATGTTGAATTTTTAAGTTGCCAATAATGTGAAGGACACAACAGAAGTACAAGTCATGTGCAAGCAGACAGTTTCAAACCTAGAGTTAGAACGCATTTATTCTGTGTTTATCCTTCTAGTTGTCAAACTTTGGCAGGGAGTGATCTTTTGGTAGCGTGATCTTTTAAGTGACTTTTGTGTTGTTTCTCCAGTACGTACTCTGCTTCTGTTCATAAAAGTGTTTTATGCTGGTAGTTAAAGCAGTACTCTTACTTTATTTATGTGTTGTGGGGTGTTGGTGTGAGCCTCTCCTACATGAAAAGCCAGACCTTTCTAGAGCCCTTCCACGCTGCTGGAATTGCACCCAGAGGCAAAGCTGTGGTGTTTGAACTGCTGAAAAGGACATGCCCTGTTGTCTGTGCAAGTTTTCTGTGTGAAACTGTCTATAAAGTCTGTGGGGTACTAAAGACGAGGAGGTTAGCCTGAGGTTTTTCCAGGTAACTCTTGTAAAAACTTTGGCACCAATAGAAGAAAAAAAAAGTTTATTCCATTGGAATTCAGAGGCCTGTTTTGTTTTTCTATTAGTGAGCTCAAACACTCATTGAAAGGATTAGTGAACTTTCAGTGTCTTTGCTCCCAAACTTGCTTTGCATCCCCTAGCAGATCCTTCGGCGTTTCTAGGTGACGAAATGTGTGAAAGTCCCTATTGAAAATCAAAACAATAGGTGCCAACCTAAATTAACCTCCACCCCAGCCCATAGACTTCCACGTACATCCAAGTTATCCATGACTAGATAAGAGAGGGATGCCAATGTGCTGGCTGGGAGTCATGAAATTCTGCCACAGCCTTGTAACTGCTGTCCATCATGTTAACCATGACTGACTTCGGCGTGTTTGCATTGGGCTCAGAGCTTGTCTTCCTTCTTCACTTGAACAAAGACAAACCTACCCAACAGATAAAATAGCCATTTCAAAACTACTCATTTAAAGTCCAGTCGTTTAGGGTAAACAGATCTTATACTATTAATCACATTGTCTGTGGGCAAAGAAATAGCTCACCCTAATATTTATCATGTTCCCTGTCTCTGAGCAAAATCCTTATTCTTTTAGAGGTTTCATTTCTACAAACCTTCTTTTAGAGGTTTCATTTCTACATTCTTCTAGCAATGTCTTGTGTTTGCATGTGCACCTGAGAAGGCATGTCACTTTGAAGACGGTATATAGGAAAATTAAGTAACATATTTTTTCCTGTCTTGCTGTTTCCTGTTTACGGGAAAGCCTGGTCTTATATATTCTAATCCAGGACTGTGTTGCTTTCTAGTTAGTTCCCTCCAGCAGCCTTCACCAAGTGGCTTGTAATAAACACGTCACCATCCACAGTACAGTTTGTTCAGTCGGGATTAATTATGCTACATATCAACATTTCTTACAGCATCTGTCAATAGATTTTAAAGTGAGGTTTCTTCTGGAAGTGTGTCTTTCATAGCTTCATCGGCAGGCTGACAGTTACAGTTTCCTTCCCGGGGTCTTAATGCGCTCAAATGCTTTTTAATACCATGCTGCTGGAGTGCACCACGCCACAGCACAGCATGTTATTCTTATTCCTTCCACATCTATCTCTCATGTCCTATTTTTAAGGGAATTCAGTTTACTGTGGAAAACTAAAGTTTGACTGGTCTTGCGCAAGTCTGCCTTTCCTCATTGCTGCCTAGAGGATACTTTAGTGAAAGTTGTTATGCTCCTGATACTGTCAGCGCCACTTCTTCAGCTCAGCTCCCTCAACAGTTCCCTCTGTTAAGGATGCTACGAGAGCTGCTCAACCCAGTGGACTCTGGGATTCAGGGGTCCCTCTTTCCTGGTCACCAAAAGCCATCCCCATGTGCTCTCAGATCTGAGAGGTTTCTCCATCCAGGGGGATGGATGCAGCTGTTGCTGGGTCTGGCCAGTAGCAAGGCTCACCTTGAGTACTGTGTTCAGTTCTGGGCCCCTCACTACAAGAAGGACATTGAAGCACTGGAGCGTGTCCAGAGGAGAGCCACCAAGCTGGTGAGGGGTCTAGAGAACAAGTCATATGAGGAAAGGCTGAGGGAACTGGGCATGTTTAGTTTGGAGAAGAGGAGGCTGAGGGGAGACCTCATTGCCCTCTACAGCTACCTGAAAGGAGGGTGGAGAGAGGTGAGTGTTGGCCTCTTCTCCCAAGTGAATAATGACAGGACCAGAGGAAATGGTCTGAAGTTGCGGCAGGAGAGGTTTAGATTAGATATTAGGAAGAATTACTTTACTGAGAGGGTGGTCAGGCACTGGAACAGCCTGCCCAGGGAGGTGGTGGAGTCACCATCCCTGGAGGTATTTAAGAAACGTGTTGACATGGCACACTTCAGGGCATGCTCTAGTGCCCGAGATTGTTGGGTTTGGTTTTTTGTGTGTGTGTGTATGGTTGGACTCGATGATTTCAAAGTTCCCTTCCACCGTGAAGATTCTGTGAAGGCTGAACGTGCACCTGCGAGAGGCCTGCACGAACACAAAATGGAAATGGGTGGCCTCACAGGCACCCAGAAAGCAATGCCTTTTTCACACCCTCATAAACATTGACAGCACTCACATAAACAAGAGCAGGGATAACCCAGTGTTGGTCCTCCCTTCTGGTTGATCAGGATTGATATTCACTAAGGAAAACACAATTCCTCCTTGGATTCACAAGCACCCCCGTGTTTGCAGGCCGCCTGAGTATCAGCGTGGGCTCTCAGTCTGTTTAATATCTGTTTCTGGACCTTGGGCCCCTTGCCCAGACACTGGTTCAGACACCAAGTCTTTCCATGTGAGCATCTCCGGCTCACTGACTACTCCACCTTGATAATTGCTGCCTGATGCGTAACCAAATGTGGTATTTCTGGTGCTTACCTGGGCCATCTTGGCCTCACATGGTATCACAAATACAGATACCTCAGCCCTGTTGGCCTTGCAAGATTGCACTCCCCCAAAACTCCCAGGTCCATCCCCCCAAGTTTTTGTGCGATCTGGCCACCTTTCAGATAACCCCCTCTGAACTACCTGAGAGCCAGCCCTCCCTCACCATGTTCTCAGCAACTTTTACCAGCTCCTCACTCTGTTATTTATGTTCAGCCATTTCTTCTATCCTGCCCAGTAGTTTCTCACGTTAGCTAAACATCAGGCTAGGGCCCAGTCCTCAGCCTGTCTATCTTAGCACCCCTTCTGTCCTGTTTTTGGTGTCAGCTGCCAGGAGTTGGGCTTGCTGTCTCATCATTGCACCCTTGGGGTGTCCCCTCTGCTGCTCCCGTCTCTGCCATCACAAGGTTTTGGTGGGCATTTTAGCTTCCCCTTAATTTTCTTCATAAACTTTTTCGTGCTTCTCCCCATCTGCTTATGTATCAGCAAAAAAAGGGCTTGATCCAGCTTGTCTCTTCACTTCTGCACAGTCACTGGTTCAGACCTTATGTCTTTCCAGGTACAGGTCTCCTACTCACCAGCTACTCCAGTTTGAACCCTGCTAGCAAATGACACACACAGTTCATACAGGGTTAAATTCACTAGGAAAACATAGACACACCAGTTCCTGGACCTGGACTTTTTGACCAGCAGCTGCTGGCTCTTAGGCCTTTTAGCAGTACCACATATAGGATAGCGGGTGAATTACACAAAAGAAGTATTAAAGGAAAGGATTTACTAAGAAGAAAGTATAGACCTTGGTCTATCCATCACCCCAGCAAGGTGATGGAGTATGCATTGCCCCAAGCGTACAGCTGCCACTTCCTCTCAGTTCGTTCATAAGAGTTCCTCAAACATTAGCCTAATGGGCTCACCCAGCCCACCCATATCTGCCACTTCTGTTTGATGGTTTTAGAGGTTGGTATCTTCTTTGGTACCCTTCTTAAAGCCCCAGCCAGTTCTAAATGTTCACACGCATCCACCATACCATAGACTTTGGAGATGGGAAGAAGAGATTCCTTCTACCTGTAGGCATTATAAGCTTCATAGAATTATAGAATGGTTTAGGTTGGAATGGACCTTAAAGATCATCAAGTTCCAACCCCCTGCCATGGGCAGGGACACCTCCCACTAGACCAGGTTGCTCAAAGCCCCATC